CTAGTAGTGTTTCCTCATGTATCAACTCGAAAGTTTCTTTCCCACACGTACCATGATCATCGTTGGGATTACCCCTTTCCAGAAACCCCTGATTCCAGCTTCCTCATAAAGTTCCTGAATCTGAAGATTGAACCACGTTTTCCAAACAAAAATCTCAGTCAAATATCCAGAGTGAGGTCTGTTAATCATGATGAAAGGAAAAGAGGGCTTCAATTGGAGAAAAAACATATGTTAACTAATAAGATAGAGCTGAAAGATACAAAAGGTAAAAAATGGGATGACTGGCTGACTAAATTTCTTAATATCCATACTTTTTTTGTGACATTCTTTCCCAACTCAAACAAAACAAAGATAAAACGAGTACTGCTTTAGGTTTGGGCTCTTATCTGTCAGTCCCTTCAATCTTGAGCAATCGGTTTACTTCATAAGGACAACTGCTATACGTTCTTATTTTTCAGCCATTCTGAGCGAACCATTAAGATGTCAGTAAAAAATTGTTCGCTAAATGTAGAAAAGAGAATTCAAATGAAATGTAAAATATAGATTTTATATAACTGCCCGGTACAGCAAAGGGGGGAGTTGTATGTTCTTTTAAATATTAGTTTTTATAAGCTAACTACGAAGACTGATTAACCAAGGTGGATAATAGAGACAGACTATGGATCTCCAGATCCAAATCCAATTGTGGCAGACTGAACACGAGAGAAGATAATCTAATTACCAAGAAATCGTTGAAACTAAGAAATTGTGGCAGCAGTCCAGAAAAAAACATGTCTGCCTTCATTCATGCAACATAGAGTTCATAGCTACTACGGGAACTAGTACATGGGCGTTTGTTACTTACAGCATGAGTGGTTCCGTATGAAGGAGGACCGACTGCTGTGGGAATTGTTTCATCTATTGGAGTCAATGGTGCTCCACCGGGAAGAGACGGCTTTGAGACTTTTCTATGTGTCTGAAAAATGATAACACAAATCTTGTCATTTAAAAATTTTCAAATTCCATGAAATCATTTACACATGAAACTGCTTCCTACTGGAGTTTAGTTTACAATGCTCTTAAGGAAAGTCAACATCAATAAGTGTTAAATAAAGTAAATAGCTCCTGAATTCTGGATATACACAGATAAAAAGGAAAGGCTTTAAGATTGTTAGGAGAAAAAATGTTTAGACCCCCAAGAGAGAGATAAAATTCTCTCTTCCATCTTTTTCTTTAAACCAGATTTCATTAAATAAATCATAGAACCTGAATGACCAAGACATCAAAAACGCGAACCCAAAAGCAGGGACTAAAAGAAGAAGAAAATAAAGGCAAGGCTATCATCAAGTCACTGAGTTGAATCCAAAAATGCTTATTAGATATTATGCTCAACCCTTAAGGGTGACATCCTAAAATAATCTCCTTGTACACTGGTTTAATTAAATTTAATTATTTTAAATGAAGCATAAATAAAACAATAAAAGTTCCGTGATATATTATTACCTGCATCCGAGTAACAACCACCCATATGGGATTTGTCAACAGTACATTGACACACCTAAAGAATGAAAATATTTTTTAGATAAATTAGAGGGGAAATAATAAAGAACTGAATAATGCAGATGGTTTAGCAGTAGGTCTGATAAGTGACCTATTTTAATTGCATATGAAAAAGATTAAACTGTCTGAAGTAGATATTTAAACAAAATGGAAATAATGCATTGGACGCAAGACCTGCATGCATAGGATGCAACCCAAAATATCCATGTTTAATCTCAAGAAAAGAAAAGAAAAGAAACGAAATGATGAGAACCCTTTCGTAGTTTTGTTTGTATTTTTTAAAACTAAACGTTCACTCTATGCCAATCCTTTTGGAGAAGAAAGGATAGAATTAAAGCCTTTCCTCCACTTTCTTGTAACCCTTATCCTTTTCATTTGTTTGAAAATGAAGGAATTTCTTATGAAAATGCAAATAATAAGAAACTAAAATTTAAAAAAAAAAAAAACAATCTATAAACAAACCCAGATATAGCAGCCACCAGAAGCGAGGAAAGCATCCCAACGGATCCGTCTCCAATCCCTGCCTTCATCTGTTCAAGAGCAGCAGCTTCAGCCTTGCTCCTGAATATTTGGTAGAAATAATAGTAAACACCCTGTACCAAGAACGAAATTTTGTTCAAATGTAAGATACCATGAATCTATATTTTAAAAAAAAAACATACAAACTTATGCAGAATAAAGTGGAGACATTAGAAAATCTAAACTGATCCACAGGAAAACGGTTTCTTTTTATTTTTTGAAAAGAATGAAGTGGAGACATTAGAAAATCTAAACATATATCATTTCGTTTTACCTTGCTAGAATCAGTAACAAGCCACGAAAGTTGACGTTCTGCCATTTCTATGTAACTCATAACTACCAATGGACTATTGAGGATCCCATGAAGAGACCTCACAATCATTACAAGATACATGGATACTCCTCTTGTCGCTAATTGGTTTTAAGATGGAACCTCATGTTTATCTAATATAGATCAAAACCCACAAAGCCAAAACCAGTATTCAGTCCAAGAAATTGGGATGTGACCTAAGAATGGTGGACCCAAAGAGTCACCATTTTGAGGGGACATGTTGAGGATCCCAGGTCAGAAAGATGAAGAGATTTCATAATCTTTATAAGATCATGGGTTACTCCTCTCATTGTCAATTGGATGTGTAAAAACTTCCGTTATTACCTTCAATACATATACAAACCAGATTGTAAGTTCTCTTTCTCTAATTCTTTATCCTTGAGCTCGGATACTTTCTATATACATATCTAGTGAAAGGAAGAAAGTGAATTGCATTTTCTAATTTTAACAAAGATCAGATATTAACCAGCCTCACTCTCGCAGTAACACCGTAGCTAAGACAAATTTGACATCGAAATTTGAAAGCGTGATATAAGAATATCAACTAAACCGAGTTCAAATGGGGGTCTCACCTGAGATGCAGCCGTACCAACCAGAGACGGCCCCAAGCCACCGTAGAGCCGGTCCCATCCTTCATGTTTTACAACCTATTCACGAATCAACCAAATAGGTCATTTCCCTATCCATCAGGCAAACATTTATACAGAAAGTGGTCAAATGAATTTCGGAAATAAGCCGCGCGAAGTTTTCCAACAAGAACAGAATCCCAAAAATTGTAGGAAATTAGGTTCTGAAGAACAAAATTGAGAGCACCTGACACATCTGTTGAAACGTTCCAGGTTTCCTCTTTTCCTTCTTCACGCCGCGCTCTGTTTGCTGACGAGTATTCACCTGCAGAACAAACCAAACACCTCTCGGATTGAAGAAACTCAGCGAATTTCAGCACAATAAACCCGGAAATTCAGTCGAAGAATTTACAGTCTGAAGAGGGTATGTGATGAGCTGAGCAATGATTCCTCCTCCAGCTCCGGCCAATCCATTGATCAACGCGTCCGACATACTTTCCCACTAAAACCCAAAAAGAGAAATTGAAGTTAGAAATTGAAGCAAAAGCCCTGTCAGTTTGCCGGGAAACTGCACCGGAGCATCGACCCCAAATGATGCATTTCGATGACGTTCGCTATCTGGAAAACCCTGACGACTCGAAGAGTGGGAAATTACGCAACATTTTCAACAAATTTTAGTTCATGTAATTTTATTTTCCTAATTTTATTTTTATTTCTATACAATAGCACCCTATGAAATTTTTTAATTAAAAAAAAATTAATCTCAATAATAAATCAATTCAACCTATTGAAACATTATATTGTGAGTCTCATTTGCACGTGTTGAGTTCAAAGATAAAAAGATAAATTCATTTGATTGTTAATAACACAATTGTTAATTTGTTATCGTAAATGTAATTTGGATATTAAAATAGTATTTAGAAAATGGGGATTTTACACGAAGACTTGAGGGTATATAAGTAAATAACAAATTAACAATTTTTTTTCTTTTTATATGTTTAATAAAACGTTATTCAAGTCTCGAAGCCAAAGAAAAAGAGAAATATAATATTTTAAAGTTTGGTTTTGATCGCAAATAAAATACGAGATAAAATGAATTAAATTTCTAACCGGAGATAAAAGATTAAAACAAAATTATAAGTTCAAATATACAAAACACAAATAATGGGCCAGCCTCATGGACCTAAGACAGCCCATCACAACGTCGGGCCATGAATCATTGGCCCATGTGGTCCATAATTTTTTACAATCGCAAGACTCCATAATCAATAAATAAATTAACATGTTTTGTGATTGTGCGAGAGAGTGATCTGTAAATCTTCTAAAATACAAGGATGAAGTTGCAATTTCGAAATGAAATCTTTTATTTAATTTACTAACAAAATTATAAAAAAAAAAAAAAATGTAGGATAAATTATTGAAATGTAATGGGTCTAAATAAATAATACAGGTTGCTAATGAATTATGATAAGCAAAGTCTCGAGGATCAATGAAAGCAATATTCAATTATTATCCATTTTCATTTTTTTATATATTATTACGTTATTATTCCTTTCTATTTTTTATTTTAAAATGAATCACACTATTGCACAACAATATCCTCTTTGCCACCCTTCTAGCGATAGAGATGGAAGGAAGTGGGGTTGACAACCAAGGCTCTAGAATTGTCTTTTTCACATAATGAATATTCATCATTTTTGTATGATTTATTTGTTGGTTAAATAAAGAGATATTTTATTTATATTCCAAGCTCAATCCAATACTATTAAAAACTCGGCTTAAAATTATCTGATTAAATCAATATTCTTATTATGGATATTTAAAACCCAATTATTTTGTGATTTAAAAAACAAGTTCCAATTCTATTTTTGTAACATAATTAGGTCGGGAAGTTAATACTTATTTTATGCATTAAATAATTTAGTTTATATCTTTTAAATATATAACAATTTAATATCGACTATACTTACTTTATATTTAAATAAAAATTTAGATATTAAAGTTGAAGGTTTAAGCATTTAGTTTATCCGTGAAAAAATATTTGGTTGAAGGAACGCAACTGGAAGATTCTACATATTAAAGCGACAGAATAAGATTTCGAAATACAAAATTCGAAAATTACAACACAAAAGCCAAAAGGGCAAGCAGCCAAAATATATAAAGATGCGAATTTTTTTTCGGGCATCGGACGGCTGTGATTGATTTATCATGATTTGATGAGATTTCACTTGGACTTGAAGGGGATGGCTCGGATCACAACTTGGTGGTACAGAGCGGCTAGACCAGCGCCGATGAATGGTCCCACCCAGAAAATCCACTGCAATTAACCGAACACTGAGGTTAAGGATTAAGATTAAGACTAAGATTATGAAATTAAGATTAACAAACTCACGTGGTCATCCCAGGCTTTCTCGTTGTTGTAGATTATGGCGGCTCCCAAACTCCGGGCAGGGTTAATGCCGGTGCCGGTGATCGGGATGGTGGCCAAGTGGACTAGAAACACTGCGAACCCAATTGGTAGGGGTGCCAAAATCTGTTCATAAACATTTCGGTTTAGTTCTTGTAAATGGTTAAGAACAGAGTGTTTTAATTTTGTTCACTTACTGGAACATGCGAGTCTCTGGCGCTACGTTTGGCGTCAGTGGCGGAGAAGACGGTGTAAACAAGGATAAATGTGCCCACAATCTCAGCGCCAAGGCCGTCGCCTTTGGTGTACCCCTTGCTCACCATGTTAGCTCCGCCGCCGAGCCTGTTGTAGGGATTGGGTTGGAATCCCTTCACCACACCGGCCCCGCAGATGGCGCCAAGGCACTGCATCACCATGTAGAAAATCGCTCTTGTCAACGACAGCTTCCTGGCCAGAAACAGCCCGAAAGTCACTGCCGGGTTAATGTGCCCACCGGAGATTCCAGCGGTACAGTAAACCAGAGCAAAAATCATACCGCCGAAAGCCCAAGCGATCCCCTGGATCCCGACGGTCTTACAAGTGTTGCCGTTGGCTTCATTGGACCGGACGACACCCATGACGGTCAAAACAGTGATGTAGAGGAAGAGGAAAGTGGCGAAAAACTCGGCGATTCCGGCTCTGTAAAAGGACCATGAAGTGAGCTCGTCCGGCTCGAAAAGCGGCGCCGGCGGTGGCTCCTGGTAGTCCTTGGCGTCGTCTTGACTCTGTGCCGCGGTTCCGATCGGCTGTCTCTCGTTGAACTTGTTGGCTCCAAGTCTTACATCTTCTTCCTTCCCTTCCATTTCAGTAACCTCCTCTGTTTCTCACGGCGGCGGACAGCGGAGGACAGTGGCTCTTTTAAGTTAATGATAGTAGACATAAATGAGGAGCTAGTTTATATAGCAACGAAAGTGAATTTAGTGAGAAATTAATGGGACCCACCCAGTTTTTTAAAAAAAAGAAAAGTTATTTTTTTTTATTATTAAAAATGGAATAGTATTGTTATTTTCACAACCGACCATTTTCTGTAAAATAGGTGGAAAATGATAGAAGGAGTGGTTGGTCGGTTTGGCAGATAAGGATTGGTCCACGTGGCAAAAGATGAGCCACAAGGAGCAGTAGAGTGGAGAATTGGGCACAAGGCGGCCACATGTGATGCAATGATATGATAAGGTCATGATTGTAATTTGGCATGCTTGATGGGGACAATTGTGGAAATTGAGGGGCTGGAGACCCACGTGGAGGTTACGTGATAGGTTTGGCTGAAGCTGTTTGTGGACAAAATAATGTCGAGCCCGTGGTTGGAAATTAAAGGAATTTTGATGCATTAATGTTTACTTTCAGGGCTACGAAAATTGGAAAACAAGATGATTCTAGAGAACCATTGGTAGTTTCATTATTTAATTTGATGTCAGTTTGACTTTATTCCTGAAAAAATCGTCTCAAGCTCATCCCATAAATGTGACCCACACGTCGCCCAAGATAAGATTGGCTCTAAACCCACCTAATGAACGCTCAATAATATTTACCTACACATTCATGACTAATTAAGTTCAAATTAGTCTCTATATCTCCTTGAATTTTTTATTTAAGTTTTTAATGACATTGATTAATATGTATTGATTATTCGAGTTTTTCTTAGAATTATGGTGTTTTCTTGCTTTCATTCCTTGTCTCTGAGGTATTGAAAAATTAAATGCATATTTTGATCCATTACTCTAATATAGAATTTTCCTCCTAATGTCGAATGATTTTTACTCATACAAATTTGTTTAACCTACTATATAAAAAAGAGTTTTAACCCAACTCCACATATAAAAAATCAGTGATTTTAACTATTTTTAAATGATATCCTTTGTATGGACATCATAATCACCCGAGGTATTTCAATTTCTTGTGCCGCCCAAGTCCCCACCATGAACGGTCGGTCACCGGAAGCCGCATTATTGTCTATCGACTACGCACGTACAGAAAGGGACCCCAGTCCTTGTTGTATAAAATTAACGTCATTAAATTTTTTTTGCCACGTGGAACAATCCTATTTCCCCGCCCAAACCGACATGGACCCATTATTTTAAACTCCACGTTTCATAAAATCCCCAAAACATTTAGTCGGCGACAAATTATAAAACAAAATAGTAAATAATTAAACCCCTTGGGTATATAACCTTGCGCTCGCTTCTCTGTAATTACCATCTTCGGTTTTCAATTGCATTTGAAACAGAGAGTTTAAAGAAGTAATCTCAATAATAATGGAGGGAAAGGAGGAAGATGTCCGATTGGGAGCCAACAGGTTCACTGAGAGGCAGCCGATTGGGACAGCGGCACAGAGCCAAGACGACGGCAAGGACTACCAAGAGCCTCCGCCGGCGCCTCTGTTCGAGCCGGACGAGCTCACTTCATGGTCCTTCTATAGAGCCGGAATTGCCGAGTTTTTTGCTACCTTCCTCTTCCTCTACATCACTGTTTTGACCGTCATGGGCGTCGTCCGCTCCAACGAAATTAACGGCAATACCTGTAAGACTGTCGGGATTCAGGGGATTGCTTGGGCTTTCGGTGGTATGATTTTTGCTCTGGTTTACTGTACCGCTGGAATCTCTGGTGGCCACATTAACCCGGCGGTGACTTTCGGGCTGTTTCTGGCGAGGAAGCTATCCTTGACCAGGGCGATTTTCTACATGGTGATGCAGTGTCTAGGCGCCATCTGCGGTGCCGGCGTGGTAAAGGGGTTCCAACCCAAGCCCTACGACAGGCTCGGCGGTGGAGCTAACGTGGTGAGCAAGGGTTACACCAAAGGCGACGGCCTTGGCGCTGAGATTGTGGGCACATTTATCCTTGTTTACACCGTCTTCTCCGCCACTGACGCCAAACGTAGCGCCAGAGACTCGCATGTTCCAGTAAGTGAACAAAATTAAAACACTCTGTACTTAACCATTTATAAGAACTAAACCGAAATGTTTATGAACAGATTTTGGCACCCCTACCAATTGGGTTCGCAGTGTTCCTAGTCCACTTGGCCACCATCCCGATCACCGGCACCGGCATCAACCCAGCTCGGAGTTTGGGAGCCGCCATCATCTACAACAACGAGAAAGCCTGGGATGACCACGTGAGTCTTTTTTTCTAATAAATTTTTAACTTCATTTCGAATAAGCTAATTTTATGGTAACTAATCTGAATCTGTAATTGGTGGTTGGTGTTACAGTGGGTTTTCTGGGTGGGACCCTTCATCGGAGCAGCATTGGCAGCTTTATACCATCAAGTGGTGATCAGAGCCATTCCTTTCAAATCCAAGTGAACATCTTCACACTATAGCTAATGCTCGTGTTCTATTCAGTATTCATCGTGAGAAAAAACAAAATCCAAATCCCTATTATCCAATTTCATATCCGACCAACAGTTCCAATCTTAAATATGCCTACCTCTCTACGCTCTTATTATATTGTTGCCTCTTTTGTATCAAATTAAGTGTTAATGTAATGAATTAAGTGTCCATACATTTATTTGTGATGGGCGATGTAAAAATTTTCGTCCAAAAAAAGGGGTTTTTTTTTTTTCCCTCTCTTTTATAACGATAGATTATAAATATGATAAACAGAAGTATAAAAAGGAAAAAAAAAAAAAAATCAACAATACCAAAACAATTTGAGGGTTAATAATTTCATGCCACATCGATGGCTGCAATTAGTTTGTCTACCAATGGGATAGAGAAACTTCCCATTCTTGTCTCCGCCCCTTTGTTGGGAGAGGTTCTCGTGTGTGCTAGGGGTTCCAGAGGTCCAAAACTTACGCTTTTGTGTGGCATTGGACTGAGGTCGTCTTTCACTGTGGAAAATTCCTTTTGTCTCATCATTTGCCTTATGTTAGACAGTTTCTCTAATGATAACTCTTGAAATGGCATCTCAATTATGTCTCAATGCCATTGAAACACTCTCAATACAAGTTGTAGGCATAAACCAATTAAGGATTGGGTTTCTCACTGACCGTTTATGCTACGATATATATACAAATGTGTCAACATAATTTCTAAAAAGAAAATTTTAATATCACACTGAAGTCTTCAACAACATTCTTAAAAAAAATAAAAATAAAATCTCAAATGTTGAGGGTGTAATATAATAAATGATAATAATTATAAGAAATTCCAAATTTCATTTTTTTCACTTGTGCGCAAAATATATATATATATATATATATATATATATATATATATAATGAATTAAAACCAAACAATAACTTATTTGTAAAAAGTGATAAAAATATAATTGTTAGACAACAAAATTTAAAATTTTGATTTATATTAATTTAAAATAAATATATATTAATTTATTATTATATGAAAATAAGTGGGGGTGGGGTGGAAAATTGGCGGGGATAGAGATGGGGACGAGAATAGAGAGGTAGGCATTAAATATATTATTTTTAATATTGATAGCTCACAACCTACTTCAAAATAATAATAATAAAATATTGCATGTAATTAATTAATTAATTAATTACTACCAATATTAAAAATAAAGACGCCACTACCTCGTCACCTTGATTATAATACTAAATGCGTTGCTTGTGGTAGATAACATAAGTTATCATCGGCCGACCATCCTGTTTTATAATCAAACACAACTCAAGTAATTCTATTTCAACAAATAAAAATAATAATAATAACCGATTTATGTTGAACTACCCATTTTCTTTATAATTTTAAAGCCAATATTTAATTTATTTTATTCTCCAATATTTAAAGGATCATAAATCTTGTTGTGCATCTATTGATGGCTTCACAAATGACCCAAAAGAAATATAGTGACAGATAAAGGTCTATAGAATTCGGTAGAACATCATGTTTTATCCGTTATTAAACAACCATTAAATTTTGAAAAAATAATTAGAAGAATACACTAATTCTTTAAATAAAATTATATAAAAAAAAATTACTGCCGCTGCAGGCAATAATTGCAGGTTTTAAATATTTTTGCCGTATTTATTACGGAAAAAAAGGGAGAGAAAAAAAAAAAGTCATAACTTGGCCCTTTTTTTCCCTTTCGTCAAATGATGCAAGTACTATTAAAAGTTGATTTTAAACTAGATTTTTGGTGGCTTCTTATTGTTGTTTTATAGTTCTGTTCATCATGTATACTATCATCATCATAAAACAGAAATAAAAAGGAAAAAACAACCCATTTTATTAAAGATCGAAGAAATTTATACATCACCCATCTAAAAAACAAATTACGAACACTCACTCCATTGAATTAACACTTGATTTCATACAAATGATGCATACAGATTCATCAAATTCAAACATTGGATTCCAAATTATTGGATGTTCACTTGGACTTGAAGGGAATGGCCCTGATCACCACTTGATGGTATAAAGCTGCCAATGCTGCTCCGATGAAGGGTCCCACCCAGAAAATCCACTGTAACACCAACCACCAATTACAGATTCAGATTAGTTACCATAAAATTAGCTTATTCGAAATGAAGTTAAAAATTTATTAGAAAAAAAGACTCACGTGGTCATCCCAGGCTTTCTCGTTGTTGTAGATGATGGCGGCTCCCAAACTCCGAGCTGGGTTGATGCCGGTGCCGGTGATCGGGATGGTGGCCAAGTGGACTAGGAACACTGCGAACCCAATTGGTAGGGGTGCCAAAATCTGTTCATAAACATTTCGGTTTAGTTCTTATAAATGGTTAAGTACAGAGTGTTTTAATTTTGTTCACTTACTGGAACATGCGAGTCTCTGGCGCTACGTTTGGCGTCAGTGGCAGAGAAGACGGTGTAAACAAGAATAAATGTGCCCACAATCTCAGCGCCAAGGCCGTCGCCTTTGGTGTACCCCTTGCTCACCACGTTAGCTCCACCGCCGAGCCTGTCG